TACTGCCAAGGCCATAGTTCCTGGCTTGGGACTGTACTCCCTATACCCTGTATCTACCCGCCAGTAGCCCAGGCACCTGCTGACTGCTAATTTTCCTCCTTGAGCGAGGAATACCTCTCGAGGAGACTTAGAATTGCTGTGGATCTGTGCCATGCCCTGCCAAAGCTCTAGGAGGGTGTTCTGAAGCCCTCTGTGTGATACACGCTACATGCCATTTCTACTCTGTCAATGCCGTTCCATATTGGCACAGGGCAATGCAAGGTGGTCTTCCAGAATTCCAGGTGGGAAGCAAAATATAAACCCCACTTCTCTACCATTGCCAGACTTAACTGGGCCTCTTAATTATGCCCTCCCAAACCCCAATACAAATGAGTTTTATCTCTGCAGGATATGAGACTATAGAGAGCAGACCAAATGCCTGTCTAAACTGTCACCACAGACCTCGTCTATCAGGCTCTTCTCTGCCCTTCTGCCCATTTTTCCACCTCACCTCATCCTCAGGCCAAAAAGGGCCTTTTGTTTTCATTTTCACATTCTTTTCTTTTCACTGCTCTGTGGGCTTTAGTGAAACTGTGCACTCTGATTCCCTGGGTTTTCTGGTTCTTGATTATTTTAAGAGTAACTTTTGGAACTTAAATAAACCTTTTCTCTCTCAATGTAGCCTGGCCCTTATAAATGAAAGCTTTGACCTTCACAAGCATTACCTCTGAAATGAGTTTCAAGAGCCAGTTGTGGGAGTCAAAAACTGAATATGACCTCCTTGCTCTCAGCTGGGTTTTGTCATCCCCTTGAAGGAGGGGGTACCCCAGGAAGGAGAGCCTAGGCCTGCCAGGATTACCATGTATGGAAAATGTTTCAAGTTTCCAGGGGACAGGCTATACTCTTAGGATCAACTTTCCCATTACAGCAACAAAAAGTGGTGGGTAGAACGTTTTCCACACTTGACCTTTTTTTAACTTTTATTTTGGGTTCAAGGGTACCTATGAGGGTTGTTGTGTAGGTAAACTCATGTGACAGGGAGTTTGTTGTACAGATTATTTCATCACCCAGGTATTAAGCCTGTTACCCAGTAGTTATTTTCTCTGCTTCTCTCACCCTCCACCCTCAAGTAGACCCCAGTGTGTGTTGGTCTTTTCTTTGTGTTCATGAGTTCCTGTCAGTAGCTTCCACTTATAAGTGAGAACATGCAGCATTGGTTTTCTGTTCTGCTCGTCTTTAGCAAACTTCACTTTTAAAGCTAAAAAACTGTAACCAGAGAGGTGATCAGGCTACGGGCGCGCCAGAGCCACTGCTGTCCTGTGAGCACTTGCCAGAACTGCTCACTTACACTTTGAATCAGCAGCCACGCAAGCTGGGAAGGTCAAAACTCAGAGGCTGGGTCCCTTCCAAGCTGAGAGGCCTCAGAGTTGACTTCTCCCACATTAAACTGGACCCACAAGGAGTTATACCCTAAGGGGTAAGGTGAACTAGATCTTAATTCACCTTTTCCTCCTAATCCTAGAGGACTAATGAAAGGATCAAATATCCCTAGGAAGAAGCAGCCACACATGAGTCCTTGCTCAGATTTGAAACCCCCAGCCTGGATTAGCCAAAAAAGTTCAAGCCAGGAATTTGATTTCAGATTATTCATGAGTTTTAATAACTCTAGGTGCCTGGCAAAAGCAAATATGAAGTGTCCCTGAAATATCTATCTTAGATCTGGAGGGTCTTTCACAAATAACTACTCAGGGGCATTCACCAGAAAACATTCAAAAATAACCAAGCACGAAAGAAAACAGTATGGCTAAGAACTATCAGAAACAACAGACAACACAAATAACCTATACAGACTTTGAAATTGGCATTGTCAGATACAGATTTTAAAAGTAGCATTTATAGCTAAGGGAAAAAAAAAGAAACTATAGAAAGTCACTTAGCAGACTTAATGAAAAACTCATCAAAATTTCAAGAAATTATGATCAAAATAAACAAAATTAGAAATTCATTGAAAATCCATTAAATGTGTATACACCAAAAACAGGATCCCAAAATACACAGAGCAGAAACTGATGGAGCTGAAAGGAAAAACAGACGAATCTGCAATTACAGGTAGAGACTTCAACACCCCACAGTTGGCAACTACTACTGCTAGACAGAACTACCGGACAGAACTAAAGACACTCAACAACTGCACTGAACTGATGTGTAATACAACTTTCCATCCAACAACAGCAGAAAATATATTTTTAAGCATTCATTAAGATAGGTCATATTCTGAGCTAAAAAACAATCCTGAAAATGTATGAAGCGAAAGTGGAAAGTCCTAAAAAGAAAAATGAAAAAATCCACCATCATAGTGAGAGATTTTAACATGCCTTTGTTTATGACTAACAAAAGAGGCAGACAAAAAAAAAATCAGAACATAGATTTAAGCAAAACAATTAGTAATCTTGACTGAATGGACAGAACATTACATTTGACAACCATAGAATACGCACTCTTTTTAAAATTTCTAAATAATTCATGGATCAAAACAGACATCATAATAGAAATTAGAAAATGTTTTGAACTAAATGATCATGAAAACACTGCATATCAAAATTTGTGGGATTGCTTACAGGGCAATTTTATAGCCTGAACTGTATATAGTAGGAAATAAGGATGTGAGGGCGATCTGGCTGAGACATCTGTCACCCCACTGATCACCGATGTTGATTTGGCTGATCTGGCTGGCGGGGCAGGTGTCCCCTTCCTCCCTCACTGCTCCATGTACGTCCTTCTGGAAACTGCACGCTTGGTCAAAGAGGATGACCATCCACAATAGAGGAGGACTTCAGTCAAGGGTGTACAAGTAGCTGCCCTCGCCTGCTAGAACCTCCAGACAAGCTCTCAAGGAAATAAGGCAGACTGCAAATTCATTAGTTTGGCATACATCACAGGAAGTTAGAAAAAGGACAGCAAAATAACACCAATAGAGTAGAAGGTTAGAATGATTAAAAACAAGACCAGAAATTAGTGAAACAGAAAATGAACCTTCAATAGAGAAAACCAATATGGCAGAAGTTGGTTCTTTTCAAAGAACCAACTCATAAAATGACAAGCCTCTAGCAATAGTACCCAAGGAAAAAGAAAGAAGTCGAAACAAACATTAGGAATAAAAATGGGCATCACTGCAGATGGTACAGATAAAAGACATTAAACAGATAAAAGAATATTGTAAAGAACTTTATGCCAAGAAATTTCAAATTTTAGGTATGATGGACAAAATCCTGGAAAACATAAGTTGCCAAAATCATAATGAAGAAGTGAAAATCTGAATTATAATCCTTAAAGAAATTAAATCAGTAGTCAAAAAATTGACTGCTGAGTCTACTGCCACTCAGGATAAGGCCCTGGAGCGATTTAGCACCTGCCTGACTTCAGGCCGCCAGGTGGCAAGTGTCTGTCTGTACGTGCAACACCACAGCTCTCTCTTACCCAGGAATGTACCAGTCATCCAGGGTATCATCTCTCCTGTCAGTGACAACACAAATTAAACAAAATCTAGCCTCACAAAACTTCGCTGGTGAGTTCTACAAAACACTTTTTAAAAAATGTTATTTCAGGCTGGGCACAGTGGCTTATGCCTGTAATCCCAGTACTTTGGGAGGCCAAGATGGGTGGATCACTTGAGGTCAGGAGTTGGGGCCAGCCTGGCTAACATGGAAAAACCCTGTCTCTACTAAAAATAAAAAATTAAAATTAAAAAATATTGTTCGGGCATGGTGTCGCATACCTGTAGTCTCAGCTACTTAGGAGGCTGAGACAGGAGAATTGCTTGAACCTGGGAGGCAGAGGTTGTAGTGAACTGCGATTGCCCCACTGCTCTCCAGGCTGGGTGACAGAGCAAGACTGTCTCAAAAAGAAAGTTATTTCAGTCCTAACACACAAAATCTCTTACAGCATAGAAAAAGAGAGAACTCTCCAACACTTTTTATGAGGCTCAAATAACCTTGATACCAAAACCTGATTAGGACAGTGAGAGAAAGGAAAAATTATAGACCTGTCTTACTACCTAAAAAACAAATCAGCAAAGTGAACTCACCAATACACAAAAAAGCTAATATATCTTGGCCAAATCGGGTTTATCTGTGGAATGCAGTGTTAGTTTAAGATTAGAAAATTAATCAATGCAATTTACCATATTAACTGAGTAAAGGAAAAAAAATCACACAAGCAAGAGTTACAGAAAAAAATTATTAAAATTCAACATTTATGGCAGGCACTCAAACTAGGACTAACAGGGAATGTCTCAAAATAACATATTTGTCAGATAGACTAGGCTCGCTGCAATAATAAATCCTCCAGTTTTAGGAGCTTAACACATGAAAATTTATCTCTCACCAGATGAACCCTGTGTGGATTTAGAAGATCTACAGGGCAGTTATCATTGTTAGCAAGCACAGTCCACGTCTGTTCCAAAGTACACTTTCCCATTCCATTAGCAGCACAATCCTCCCAGGTCAGTGGTGACCTGTGCAGTTCATCTACAGCCAATACCCACCAACCCTGGTTCATGCTAAAATCCTATCCTTCGTCCTTCATCCTCAAAATCCCCATTTGGGCTAAGAAACTATATATAATTTTCATCCTCACATAGAGGATAAAAATAGTGCCTCTGTTAATTTCTATAGAAGGGGAAGTCATGCTGTTCCTCAACTATATCTTGGTCCTAACGGTCCACACTGCTGTATGGGACCTTGCCTGAGCTCCACCTCCACAGCCTTTCTCTCAGCAGAGAAGCCTTCCTCTCAGTGCTACTCTGGGTTGTAGAAGGCTCTAGAGGAGAAGCACGTGGTCATCCTAAGGTAGTGCCTTTACTCTTGCCTAAGGGAGCCACCCTTCCTCCCCCATGAGAGAATGCCAGACTCTACTCCCACTCAGGATGAGGCACTGGAGAGATTTAGCACCTGCCTGAATTCAGACTACCAGATGGTGAGCATCTGTCTGTATGTGCAATACCACTGCTCTCTCTTACCTAGGAATGTACCAGGTCATCCAGGGTATCATCTCTCCTGTCAATGACAAATATGGGAAGAAAGACCTCGCAGCTTCTCGTCACCGAGTGGCCATGGCCCAGCTGGCCCTGCAGACGTCCGACTGGATCCGAGTGGACCCTTGGGAGAGTGAGCAGGCACAGTGGATGGAGACAGTGAAGGTGCTGAGGTAATGGTAGTCACTCTCCTGTTTGATGAGCAGGGCCCACGGGAGACGTCTACAGAGCCTGCAGGGTAAAAGGTAGGGCAGATTGTGGGGCTGGGGTTCTGCCAGGCCTTTTCAGCATACATCAGAGAAGCAGCTTCTACATAGGGGGAGAGAGCCAACAGATTCACATTCTCAGAAGTCCCTGAGCAGAAAAATTACAAAACACTGTCCTTTCAGATGCACTTGTGGAAACACTCAACCTTATTTCAGACGATGGAAGCACTGGGGTCTAGCACCACCACTTAGTAGCTGCGTGACTTTGAGCAAGTGATTTGATATCTCTGAGACATATTTCTCACTTGCAAAATGGAAACAACAAAACCTAATGAATGACTTTTTTAAATGCAAATAACTTTCCTGACCCAGAACTACATAATAATATTCAGTAGGTGGGACCTTTCATTATTTTTATCATTGTCTAGGGTGAAAACTGCATCTACATATTAAGCCATCTTTTTAAATTGTACAATTCCTGGGTTCTATATAAACCCAGACTTTTATGTGAAATAGGAAAAAGAAAGACTATAAATCTAGAAATAGTTACTCAGGATAATTTTTTCTTCTGGAATTGCTATTTGTATTCAGTGTAAGTAATATAACTGTTTAAAACCCCAAGCAAGCCCTGCATGTTAAGGCAGTGGGTCACTAGCTTGTGTCTGCCGACTTTAAGGGGAATTGCCAGAGAAGTGGGAAGTCCCACCTATCCTGGCTGCTGGGATTGTGAGGGGGGGGGCTGCCTCATCACTAATGACAACCAGCTCTGCTGGAAGGGATTGCAAATTGCAGGCTGTGTTTTTTGTCTATTTAGAACCACTAGGATTGGCAGGAAATGGGAAGCACAAGGAATGAGGTGACATGATTGACAGGCCTGTTCATAAAGTGTTTTGGTTTTCATTTTATACTTGTCTTCAAAAATCACTTGGGAGAAAAGGTTTACCTTTATAGTAGAGGTAATCATTTCGTTTTTATATCCTGATTCTTTTTACTTACCTTTTACTGGGGAAAGAACCAGCCAGAAGCATTCAGGAGTTACAGTTACAGTGTTGCTTCAGAACCTGTTGCCAATTTTTTTTTTTTTTTTTTTTTTTGAGACGGACTTTTGCTCTTGTTGCCCAGGCTGGAGTGCAAAGGTGCCGTCTTGGCTCACTGCAACCTCCACTCCCAAGTTCAAGCAATTCTCCTGCCTCAGTCTCCCTAGTAGCTGCGATTATAGGCAGATGACACAATACCCAGCTAATTTTTGTGTTTTTCATAGAGATGGGGTTTCACCATTTTAGTCAAGGCTGGTTTCGAACTCCTGACCTCAGGTGATCCACCCACCTCAGCCTCCCAAAGTGCTGGGATTGCAGGCATAAGCCACCACGTCTGGCGCCTGTTGCCAAATTAAAAGGAGAGCCATTATAAAATAATTGTTAGACACATGTTCTTTACTTTTGTAAACTACCCGTTAATATAAGCAAAAATTCATATATTGAAAATTATATAAGGAATAAATTGACACCTAGATCATCCTTTTAGAATGAGTCATGCAATTATTTCTCATTTATCTAGTCTAAGAGAGGGGGAATAGAAGCAAGCAAATAGATCATCCAACAAGTGATTTCGCTTTAATATGTAGGCAGAAACAGACGCTTTCTCCTCTACCCTGTGAGAAGCAGTGTAGCCTAGGATATAGGTTTTAGAGCCAAATTTACTAGCTGAATGACTTGATGTAAGTGATTTAGCCTCCCTGAGTCTCAGTTTCTCACCTAATAAAATGGAAATGACATCATCCACTTCACTAGGATTCCATGTGAATTAAATGAGATGATGTAGGCAAAACACCTGCTTTATGGTAGGTACTTAATAATGTAAGCTACCTTCCATGAATCCCTAATGCTGTCCCATAATTTGTCCTCAGAACAGATAAGCCATTCATGGATAAATAGGAGTTGACCATAGTACTATTTATGATTACTTGTGCTTCTGTGGCAAAATATAGGGGTGAGCTAAGATTCTACTGAACACATTCATTTTCTTTTTAATTTTTTTTTTGAGACAGGGTGTCAAAAAAAAAGCTCCCTGGTGATTCTAATATATGGCTAGCCCACTGCTTCAGCTGTCAAGTTTATGAATTTAGCTCTGGTGCCCAGGCTGGAGTGCAGTAGCGCAATCTCAGCTCACTGCAACCTCCACCTCCCGGTTCAAGCAATTCTCCTGCCTCAGCCTCCCAAGTAGCTGAGATTACAGGCACACACCACCATGCCCTGCTAATTTTTTTTATTTTTAGTAGAGATGTCCAAGCTGATCTCGAACTCCTGACCCACCTCAGCTTCCCAAAGTGCTGGGCTTACAGACATGAACCACCACACCTGGCCTCTTTTTAATTTGTTTAAATAACTCCTTTATTCCTGTATTTCTCAGTGCTGGCTTGCACACTGGACTCACCCAGGGAGCTTTTAAAAGTACCCATGTCTGGGTCTCACCCCAGAGACTAAGATGTCCTTGGTCTAGGTTGGGGTATCAGGATTTTTTAAAGCTCCCTGGTGATTCTAATACATGGCTAGCCCATAGCTTCAGCTGCCAAGTACATGAATTAAGCTTATGATCAGTACCAAGATGCATTTAAACCAGTGGTCTCAACTCTGGCTGCAGAAATCACTTAATACGCTTTTTTAAAATGCTCACTTCTTCCCACCCATCCCAGAGATTTTGATTTGTCTGGATTAGGCTCTAAACATTACTATTTTCATGAAGGTTCCCAGATGTATTTTGTGCAACCAAAATTGAGAATCACTGATATAGTCAACACAGTTTTATCAAATGCTGATTCAGATTTTAAAAATTATCGTTTGGAGTGAGTTTTGTCTCCAAAATATACCAATTGCATTTGTGTTTGATTACTAACACTTTCCTAAAATTTCCAACAAATGATTTAGCTTTAATATGTAGGCAGAAACAGTTTTCTTAAGACTGAAAATCCGGTTATAACTGTAAAGTCAGGTGGTTTTAGAAGCATGGTAGAAATCCACCCCATCCTTTGCTCCATTTACTGTCCTCTTGATAAAGTCCATCGTGAATCTACATCATAGTGACATAGTAACACACATCTCTATAATGTAAATTCACTGTAGAGCTTATTGAGGATTCCTTCTTTCCTCATAAGATTGCTTATTTTTATTCTAATTTTTAAAATCTAGGCCAACTTCCATGCCTTTAGGACATTTGATAATACATTTCACTCACGTTCTCCCTGTGTTGTGGGCAAGGCCCCAGTCACATGCCATTTGATATAATCCATTATTGTCATCATCATCACTCTTTCGTGCACCCCCTTGCATACGTGATCTTGTGTTGTCCTCATTTTACAGATAAAGAAACTGAGGCTCAAAGAGGCTAAGTTAATAACAGTCACACACATAAACAAACAGGAAATGGAGCTCCCATCTGTGGAGCCCTGAAGCCTTGCTTATGGCCACCTTGAAAAACAGGGATCTGCAGCCTGGGAACATGATGTGGCTGGCTTTCAACCTGCCACAGTTACCCTCCAACCGGGCTTTCCCGAAGACCAGTGGGGCTGCTGAGGACACCAAGAACATGCCCCCGAGGGCAGTGCACAGGCCCAAGGTGCCACTCAGGCAGGCAGCAAGAAGCAGCAACGGTCATGCCCCATGGAGGCACAGTGAAAGTCCCTGGAAAATGCATGTTGTATTGAAAGCAATGATTTCCACAACAAAGTTCAGCAATCCAGCTAATATTCAAAGTAGGGTCAACCTGAACTAGGACATTCAAGGTAAGTAAAATGACAATCACCACCTTTTACTGATCACCCGCTATGTGTCCCAGGCTCTTTCATGTATATCTAGTAAGCTCAGTAACTCCAAGAAGTAGGTGGGTTTAGTCCTATTTTATAAGTGAGGACGTGGAGATTCAGAAAGGGTCATAAAATACTTCAAGTCCTACAGTTAGAAAGTGGAGGTGAGACTCAATCTACTCAAGTCTGATAGGAGAGCCCATACCAACCCAAGGGTGAATCATCAGAAATAAAGTTCACCAAAACCAAAGCAGTAAAACAATAATGAAGCCACTGAGTCCAGCCAGGCTCTAAGAAGATTCTACTGAGTCTCTGAGATAATCTGAAAGGGCTTTGAACCAGGTTAAATGTATTCATTCATCCACTCCTTCCATCATTCCTGAATTCAGCAGACTTAAGGAGCATTTTCATGGTGCTAGGAATATAAAAGTGAATTCAGTGGGGTCCCTATTCACAATCTCGTGGGAAGATAGACTATAATAACAGCTAATATTTTTTGGGCTCTTTCTGTGTATGGGCCAGGGCTAAGCGTTTCAATCAATCCTCATGACAGCTCTCTGGGGTGGGTTCTGTCATTATCCCTCACTCTATAGATAAGGAAACCAGAGACACCGAGACTCCGTGGCTAGTAGTTAGAACCAGAATTCCAACCCAGAAAGTCTAATTGTAGAACTTAACACTGTGCCCCTTCCCAATTATAATCAGCAGCAGGCCACTTCCCCAGCATTTCGCAAGGTAGAAGTAGTTTTTCATTCATGATCTTGCAACACTTCTTGTAGATAAGGCCAGCATTAACTTTCATGACTAATTAACAGATGAAGTCCACATGGCTCGGAGATTATCAGTGCCACAGGGTGTCAGGGTCATTCAAGCAGAAAAGCCTGAGCTTTAAACCCACCCACTCTGGCTGAAAAGCATATGCTTTTTCCAGCAGGCACTACTGTCCCCTCAACACAGCTCTAGTAAATGCATAATACAGGAAGTGGAAGATGGAAGATCAATTTGATACAAGACGGGGTGAACAGTGATTGCCTCTGTTTGACAAAAGAATATATCGGTACCTCATGATTTGCAGAAGATAGATTGCTGAAGAAGGGAGGCATGGCAAATTTATGAAAGTCTAATCATCTTTGAAATGCCCGGTGTACTTTGTGTGTATTAACCCCTTTAATCTTCATAACCACCCGTCAGAGGTGGGCACTGTCATAATTCCTCATTGGCAGATGCAGCACCATCCACATAGAGACTTGAAATCACCCACCCAGGGTCACACAGCCAGCTGGTGGAGGAACTGAGATCCAACCCAGGCCATCTGGCTGCAAGCCCTGGCTCTAGGCTGCCACTCTATTGCCGTCTAAAGCACTAGTTTCTAATTAGAGCGGGCAGCTTTTCTTGGACCTCGCTATGGGCCAGGCACTGTGCCAGTGCTTCGTGTGTGTAGCTCATTTACCTTCACAAGAGTCTAAAAGTAGGTGTTTTCCCTGCTTCTCAAATGAAAATGTGTCTTGAACTCAAGTCTGTCTGACTCAATAGCCCATGTCCTTAACCCCTACTCAAAAGTGACTCCTTTTTTTTTAAGGTGAGAAATATTAAAGGAAATGTTAAAAGAGTAGAAATGTATTAATTTCCCTGCTTTCACACATGTCACATGGAAAGTAGTGAACTGTCTTGGACAGGACTCTCCATGAAGACCCACCTGACTTTCTGTCCCAGCACCTGACAATGCCTGCCGCAGAGTAGGCCCTCAATGGATATTTGGGGAATGAGTGAACTAAAGTCGATAAAAGCAGGTTGAGACAAAATCTGAAAATCCCTGGGTTGCTTTGAGGGCTGGAGGACAGACATACCCTGAGCCCATATGTTTCCATCGCAGGCATCATCACAGCAAACTGCTCAGATCTCCACCCCAGATGGAAGGCCCAGACCACGGCAAGGCACTCTCCCCAACCCCTGCAGGTGGGTGCTGACCCTCTTGTCTGTAGGAGAATGAGATGTCAGGGATTCTGTGAGAACTGAACGGGGTTGGGGTAGTCATAGCTGCAGAGGACTTGAGGCCAACCCTCTGGGCACAGACAAGGAATTTAAGGGGCTGCCTGCTTGGGAAGACACTTCTGAGATTGAAGTTCAGATTAGACAATCTGCCACCACCCCCTGTAAATTGCTCTGCTAATTTGGGATTTTTTTTTTTTTTTTTTTTTTGCCCCAAAGAAGTTTACCTACCCTTGTGACTTGTTCTAATGACATGGATTACAGTCAGGGTCACACAGGGATAAACTGATGAGGGCTGCTGGGTTTCTTTTAAAAGCCTTAGCCTTTTTGAATGTAAAATATGACATTATAAAACTTGAACAAAGAGACTAAGACTTTTTTATAGCAGAATTACTCAATGGTTCACTCAGAAGAGGAAACCTATTTTTAAGGGAATTTAAAGTTGGTTTGGATTATCCTCTTAATTTGTAAGCCTAGATGTGTAAGCCAGGAAGTGTTGTCATTTCCTGGTGTTTGATAAAACCTTGTTGGCTGTGATTTCAGAGTATGAACAGCCCTGGTGTCAGGGGCCAAATGCATTAACCCTTTCATGCAAATAAGCAGGAGCACCATGCAGCGGTGGGCACGCAGACTCCTGCAGGTCATCTGCCGAGTTTCCTACGGCAGGGTCTCCTGGGGAAGATAGTTGATGGAACACTGGTTCCAGATTAGAAGGGTTCGGGTACGCTGAGGTTAAGCACACCTGAAGTGGTTTCTTTACGGCATGACTTTTCAGAGGCTTTACTATGTCCATGTGCATTTGGATTCTACAAGAAAGAGAAATACCTTGTTCTTACCATATGGAACTCTTTGTTTAAGATCTGTTAGTAATTTTCAGAACTAGTGCTCCTTAAAGCAAGATTGGGAAACACTCTTCTAAAAAGAAACTGAAAATGCTAGCAGACCCTATAGGTGCCATGCCACAGTCCCCAAATGCTGGCCAAAGGATCACTCACAGCAGTATCCCCTGTGCGGCTTGTTAAAAGCACTACTTCTCAGAGTGGGAGAAGGGCCCAGGAATCTGGATATTTAACAAGCACTCTGAGGATTTGCTTTACAGCCAGTTTGGGGGGCTATGCATGAAAGTAAGAATCTAAGAAGGATTTACAGTGCCTCCTATATAATCATCTTATATAATGTTTATTATATTCCTCTGGTCTCTCTGAATGCCTCTCCTCTCTGTTACCTGCATGGGCTCCTTCCCACCCATCCCTCATGAGCACAGTGCCCATTGTTCATTATCAGCCTCTCCCTTCTTTCTGTATCTTCTCTGGCTCAGTAGGCATTCCTAAAAGGATTCTGCAGACACTTTTTGAGCACCTCATTGGAACAGACTCTGGGCTCAGGCTGAGAACAGAGACAGCCAGCCCCAGCCCCTACCCCAAGCTGGAGACAGGGTATGAACGGAGGCGAGTCCAGGCATGAATTAGGCGGGCTGCATGGTGGAGGGGGCACCTGCACTGAGACTTGTATGAGTGGATTATTGAGGTTGGAGACATTTCTGGGCCAAGGGGCAGGCTAAGGAAAGCACAAAGGCAGAAGACAGCATAAGCGTGGGGCACTCCATGCCGCTGGGGCAGGCTGGGGTCTCCCGTGAGAGGCAGGGGCAGCCAGAGTGACTCGGGAAGGACACCACACTGAGGCTCCCAGCCTCTCACACTTCACCTCTCTGCTTATGCTTCCAGAATCCCTGTCTCGGCTCTTTGCCTGGGCTGCCCCTCCTTCCTTTTAATTCTTGGTTCCCCTGTTGAAAACCTGTCTGGCCTGTGAGGCCCAGTTCAGAATTCACCTTCCCTATAAAACAGCCCCAGCTGCTCTCATTAATATGAACTCTCCCTCTGCCAAAGCCTACTGCAGATTCTTTCCAGATTCATTTTCCTAGGGGCTACTAGCCTACTCTCCTTGGCGCTATATTGTCGAGGGCCTCTTTCTCTCTATTCAGACCCTAAATCCCACTCATCTTGTTCTATTCTAAAGTAACTATTTTTTTAAAAAGGAAGTTTACATGAAATGAAAAGTATGTTTTCCAGTTTACCAAAATGTATCAGAGACTTGAAAAAGCTTTGTACTCTGCTTGATAAATTCCCATTCTAGGAATCTGGCTAAGGAAATAATTAGAAACTGGGATAAAGATTTATGCACAAAGATGTTTATCACAGCAGTTTTTACAGTAGCAGGAAGTAAAAGCAACCTCAATGTTTAAATATAAAGGAATGTGTAAGTAAATTACACTGTATACATAGGATAAACAAACTACATAAAAGGTTTTAATGATATGGAAAAACACTTATGAAGGAAGTGAAAAAAATCAGTATATAAAAAATTATATACTGCATATAACCTTAAGTATATAAAAATATGACTAAACTTTCACATCTGTGCATGTCTAAATAGAAAAGACTAAGTAAATACACTAAAATACTGATGGTGTTTTGTAGAAAGCAGAATTATTATTGTTGTTATTTCTACGTTAAATACTTATTTTCCATACGTTCCATAATGAATACAGTTTGATATTTGTCATCCAGGAAACCGTAGAGCAATTAAAAACAGAAAGGTGAAATTTTTCTCAGCATAAGTTTGGCTTTTGATGAGATGGCATGTGTGTTACTAGTGACATATTTCTAAAGGACCATTTTGTGTGCTGCGTGTTTTATTGATGTGCTGTTATACTCTGGGGTTGCAAATTACATGATGAGCTCAGCACTTTCTGGCTGCCAGAGCCTTGCTTTGCCCATCACTTCTGTGATTTGCAGGCCTCCTTGGGCTCACTCAGAGTCATATGGATTGCTACATGCTGGGCTGCTTGGGTGTGACACTTTGGGATGGATGATGTCTCCAGTCCTTTAACAGCTGACTGTCTGTCTTTCGTGAAGGTGGCCCCTACCCATGGCTGATGGAGCTGAGCACAGCTCAGCCACGTGCAGGATTCCCTCTCCCAACAGAGCAGGCCCTTTACCTGTTTCTGTTTTACACTGAATGTTCCAAGATGGTCTTGTATGGCAAATTTGGGTGCTGCCTGTCAGATGCTTCATCTCTTGTGTCCTGTTTAGATCCAGAAGTCCTACATTTCTGAGTGTGTCTGTGAGGTACCATGACAGACATTGCGCCGGACAGGAAATTTACATTGCATTCTCGCTATCACTCAATTCCCATACCTTACAAAGAAAGCTTTACTATCCCCATTTCATGGCTGAAGAAACAGGCCCATAGGCTAAGTAATTTTCCTGGGGTACCAGTAGATTTAAATGGAACCCAGCCAGAGCTTAGTGACCTCAAGATTGGTGCTCTTTGATGTCACAGACTTAGGACAACCAAATTTTCAAAGATCCCAGTGGAACTTCCATCACAGTCTATGTAAACTTCGGCTTTATCTGCCTTTCAAAGCCCTTAGCTACTCAAAGGTAGAGCATACTGCCCTCAAAATACCCACGGACATCCTGTTTATGTCTCTGTATCACTGTTAGGAGAAATCATATTGACAACCTTTATACTACACCCTGGAGTCACATACTTTGGACATGGATAGAGTCACTCAGTCTAAAAATTTTGTAACAGTGTTGTAAATGGATTTGGAGATGTCTGAATGCCTTTGTGAGCCCTGAAGACAGGACTGCCAGGAGTTGGAGGCCTGAGGCCCATGTTGCGCAAGAAGTGACCTATCACATGGTATTGTTGCCATGAAATAACAGGTGCCACCTGCCTCAAACACACACGTGCCTTTGATTTGGGAGGCAGAGGGCGTGTGGGAGCTTGTTCCCTCTAGGCAAGGCCCAAAAGTGAATAGTATTCCTTACTGTCATTGTTAATGAATCAAACAGTACTGAATATTGAAACTGACATGTAGAAATTGTCCCCACAAAAGAAAATCTATTGGAAAAAGAAGATAGTATCTTCTCTGTTCTCTGACCTGTAGGAAGAGAGAGGATGTGTCCCAGGCCCCAGCAGATCCTGGAATGAAATCCACTACGTAGTACCTCCCACACAGGGAGACCACATAAAAATACCTAATTATTTGAAAGACCAAACACTGTTCTTCTTTATACTACACTGGTTGGGTAGATAAGAAATTAGAGTAAAACTTCACAGAGGCAGAACAGTTCAAATACACATATATGCTGTGAACAATGGGACCAGCCCAAATTAGTGAAAAGTATGAGTTACTGAATAATTGTTAAATGCAGTTTTATTGATTTAAAAAGGCCAGACACTAGGAGATAATTCATAAATGTTGGGTGGGAGTTTCTATGAATAGAATGGTAGATAAATGGGTAAATGGATAAGTGAATGAATGAATAAATGAGGGACAATATCCTCATTTTAAAGTTGAGATCACATGAGGTATTGAATGGCAGAACCAGAATTTGTATCTAAGGTGTCTGGCTCTAGACTCTTAGTTTGTAACCACTAAGAGTTCATACGTGCATGAATAAAGGAATGTTTGAAAACCACTTACTATACCAATATTACGCTGCTAAAGCATTTGAAAAGTGTGTTTCTTTGATTTCGTATGTTGCTTTAAATGAGTCCAGAGCACATCATCTCATGGCTGGGAAAACTGAGACAAAAAGAAAGAAAGGTCTTGGCTCCAGCCCCACAGCAGCCTGTGCCCAATTGAGGCCAGGACTCAGACCTGCCCAGGACACCTCCAGTCTCTCACTTTCCAGTCCACAGTCGCTCCGGTGCTTTTGTGTGAACTCATCTCTCTGGTCCATGTTTGGATTCCTTCAAATGTTCTGCCTTAGAGGATCCTAAACTGACCATTTACACCAAGGTTTCCCCAGTATGGCAGCCCCGGAGACGCTGCAGCTTGTTTCTAGCATGGATTTGGATTTCCTTTGCCGATTAGCTCACCAAGAGGGACACAGATAGTGCCAGGAAAATCAGCCTGGGTCTCTAGAAAGGGCGTCTCCAGTAGGCTGCAAGTACAGATTCCCACCAGCAGGTAGCAGCAGAACCCGGCAGTTACAAATGCCCCACCTAGAGGATGGCTGCCAGGTTGGACTCCTGACTTCTCTGCCTAGCTGAGTGACCAGAGGGAAGTCACTTACATCTCTCTGCCTCCATTTCCCCCTCCACAGAATGGGCACAACAACACTCACCTCATAAGTTGTTCTGGGGTGCATAAGGCATTATACACATAAAGAGCTTAGTGGTGGTGCCCATAGTAAGTTCCCAATCCATGTTAGGTATTGTTTTATTACCACAATTAGCATTCTGCTAGAACACATTCCAAAGGATTATCCACATTAATCGTTGTTCTAGAGCTTTGTTTTATTGGAAACTGCAATGAAATGGCCACCAGCTGGAGTTTTAAGACCTTTTGGTTATCCAAAGAGCCTTTATAATTAATCTTTATAAAGAGATTTTTATATAAAAGTGCCAGGTACTAGTTCCTAGTAATACTGGGGCTGCAATGGATTTCCAATAGAGCAGTGACTTGTCCACGGCCCACAGCTTGCTGGTCTCAGACCTCTCAGAAACTTACCTTCCATCAGAAAACACAGGACTGGGTACAGCACAGTCACCTTTAGAGCACTCTGCTTTGGTCCTAAGCAACCACAGACCGACTTATGTTAGAACACTGAAAAAAATATTTTTTGTATTACTTGGCACTTTTCCAATATTAAACAAAAGATGTATTGATTAAGTCATTACTTATAACTGTATTCCCTGAAATAGCTGCAGATTTGTTTACATACTATTTCTTTTCAAGTCATGGACTTGGAGACACTGATACATTCCAAGGAAAGCATTTTGTGAGATTTTCCAACAGAAGTGATGTTGTCTTTCCTGGCAGTGACCCTTCTGTAACTTTACTGAGTCTATCCTTGTTTTTGCAGCTGTGCCTGAGCTGAAGCTTCTCTGCGGGGCAGACGTCTTGAAGACCTTCCACACCCCCAACCTCTGGAAGGACGCGCACATCCAGGAAATAGTGGAGAAGTTTGGCTTGGTGTGCGTGAGCCGGGTGGGTCACGACCCAAAAGGGTACATCTCAGAATCTCCCATCCTACGGATGCACCAGCACAACATTCACCTGGCCAAGGAGCCCGTGCAGAATGAGATCAGTGCCACATACATCAGGCGAGCCTTGAGCCAAGGGCAGAGTGTGAAGTACCTGATCCCCGATGCTGTCATCACCTACATCAAGGCCCACGGCCTCTACACCAAGGACAGTGCCTGGAAAGGCAAAAGCACCCAGAGCGCTGAGGGAAAGACCAGCTAGGGAAGGGGACTTGGCACCCACACCTCCTCCACCAAGCTCCTGCTCGGGAGAGGGCTGTTAAGGTTTCTGTTTGAATTTGGTTTTTGCTTCTCCATTTTTCATTGGTTTATTTCTACAACGATTCTACTTCTGAAGAGTCTTCTGTCTCAGGAAGAGATTCTTCTTTGTGGGAGAGGAAAGGTCTAAATCACAAGGATGGACATTTATCAACGAAGTTAAAGTAGCATGGCAGGTCATTAGGATTAGGCAGAATCTCTCAGAGCTGCTGGACCAAGGAGGACTACTTATTTTGTGTGGATGGTAATTACAGCGTGCACACTGAATGCAGTTCTGAGAATGGCAGGGGCCCCTGAGGGTCAGATCAGAATTGCCCACAATGCATTTTTTAACTAGGACCAGGTGCAGCATGCTAGTCTTGATTGGAGAGATTTGACAGGATGCTAATTACTGAACAGTGGGTTTTGTCAATGCCCTGGTTTCAGAATATGAACTGAGGAGTCAAACAGTTGGAAACAGCACATTGCTGATTTACACTGAATCTTGCCTTACAAACCATTGTCTGCCTGACTAACCAGCCCTTCATAAAATTTAAACAAAACTCTTTCTACATAGTGATCCTCAAGCAGTATTTTTCATATGGCAAGTGCAAGTATAAAAGCCGGGGCTCCTGATTTCCAGGTTTCTAAAAAGGAACTGAGGTAAAACAGATGCCTGACTGTTTTAAAGGATCTTTTTTTTTAATGTTTTATGACTGCCTGTCTGTTTGAATATTGGCAAAGGGATAAATAATAAATTGACATCAAAAAGTACTAATGAAAAGTTTCTTCCTTTGTTATATTATTAATGCCTGATGTCCCAGCTGTTTCTCTTCTTTTTAGCTGCTCCATGAAACTTGCTGCTATTGCAGTTGAACTGGCATGAATTTAAAAGTGTGTGTTTCCAGGTAGTAGGAATGGAAGAAGCAACTGCTTTTCAGTGCCATGCAAATGGCTTTCTAAAAGAAAGCACTGGGTCGATAGCTTTTTTTCAGGTGGGCCTTTGAAATATTAGAACAGGGGCCTCGTGCACTCAGGATTTGTCATTCCACTCCCAAATTAGGGAAAGGTTTTGATTGACCTAATTCTGTTTGGGTTTACTCTTTAAACTTGCTGACCAGATGACTGAATGCATTCAGAATTTAATTATCCATAGTTTTACTCTGGTTCATCCTTGCTCTGGGTTTGGTCATGCAGAAAAACAAAGGGCCTGTTAGGAAGAATCCATTATCCACCCCCAAAACATACCAGTGTTCACATAGGTGTCATGAAATATATGAATGAAGTAGGAAGTCAAGATTTTCTGGATCCAGCAAGTTCGGGTGGGAAGCAGATTTCCATCCCTGCAACCGCTGAAGCTGCCAGCCTTTCCTCACCCTAAATAAACTCTGCCCTCCAAGAGGTCAGGACCCTGATAATTCAGGGGAATAGAAATCACACAACTTTGTCCAAAAGCTGCCACAGCAAGCTGTGTGATTTTCACTAACTCCCTTCCCTACTGTTAGTCATCGTTTCCCTGCCTGTAAAGTGGGAGGTTTAATCAGACACCTCTAAAGTATCTCCTAGTTCTGGTTTTCTAAGACTATGAGTGCCTCTGGCTTCAGCCTATCCAGCCTTCTTTGGATCCAGTACACGTACAGCCAGACTGAAAGCTCTCCAGGGGCAGGGAATCTTTGTTTTGTTTGCTGATATATCCCAAATGCCTAGAAATTTGCTACAGAAAGTGAACTGCCAGAACAGCAATGTTTGCACCCGCTGGGAGCCAGCAAGAAATGAAGACTCTCGGGCCCTACTGCAGACCTGCCTCAAAATCGGCATTTTGATATGAGTCACTGGCTCAAAACAGTGCCCCTTACAACAAATAATAGTTTTATTTTCAATAAATTGAACATATGATTGAGATTGTGTGACTTTTACTATGGTGAATATCTTCTATCTTATCCTCAGAGCTTCACTGCCACAGTCTTCTGTGTGGAGTGGAGAAAGCAGAGGAAAGGGGGGGAAAAACTCCAACCTACAAACAGTTGCAGTGTCCAGAAAAAATGATGAGAGGGAGCCTGTGGATTTAAGGCAGGATTTCTCAACCTTGGCAATATTGACACTCTGGGCTGGATAATTCTTTGCTATATGGGGTTATCCTGTGCATTTGGCGTGCTTAGAACATCCATGGCCTCTTGCCACTAGACGCTAACAGTACCCCCATAATCGTGACAACGAAAATGCCCCCAGACATTGCCAACTATCACTTGGGACATCAAATAAGAATATGGCTGTGAGAGGTGTGTATATGAGGAAGGGTTCTCTATTTCCTAGCAGGGAAAATCAAGAGGCAGCAGCTTTAGAATAGTCCTCTTTTATAAAGGAGTAGTTGGGGTGGGGGGCTTTCCTGCCACTCATGAAGTCATGTTTATTCTGCAGACACCATGCTGTCCACAGTAAGAATTAGAAGCCACATTCATGACTCACAGTCACACCCAACTTGAATCTCCCATTACCTTCAAGTGCCCTTGGTTACTTTCTCTGCTGCATTTTCACAGGGTCCAACATACTCTGGACCCTCAGTCCTGAAACTTGGGGTTCCTGGTAGCAGAGACTCTCAATGAGTGGGAGCTAACAGATTTATTATTATTACTGTTCAAAATTAAGAATTAATTTATTCAAATCACATTTACTGAGGACCTCTTGTGCCAGGCACTAAACACAGTACAATGGTAAACAAAATAGGCACTGTTTCTACCCTCAAAGGGCTTATAATCCAGTAGTGAGTAGACAAGAATCAAATAATCACACAACTAAACACATGATTCCAAACTGTGATGAGGGCTCTGAAGGCAAATCCACACATAGTCTGCCAGCCAGAGACAGCAGGTTCACTGCAAAGCTCATGATGCTTAAGCTTCAGTCTCTCACTTGCCCAGGCCCTTTCCAGGGTCCTAAAAAGGGCCCTAATTATGTGGATCTCTAATTTCAAATCAATAACTTTTACACTTATTTCTGAAAAGGGGCCTTCAAAATTGTACAAGATTTTGACTATATAAAATGGATTTGCCATGATGACAGTGTAGACAGAAGGGAAATGACCATGGATTTGATACATGAAAGGTGAGTTCACAAGACCTGAGGATGGGTGGCAGCAACTGGCTTTCAGGAAGGGGAAACATCATATGCAAAGGCCTTGAGGCAGAAGAGGCCAAAATGTGCAGCATGCTGAGATGGATTCATCCTCAATTCCTGGAGAAGGGGTGCCTTGTTGCATCATGCACCTGACAGCAGGAGTCTCAAGCCCCCATGCCCCTGTCCAGCCTTTCCATAGGCTCAGGGCACCAGGTCCAACCAGGCTTGGAGGTGATGCCATCATCTCCCTCATCCCTGTGTGCATGATGCATCCCCTACTAGGCAAAACATCCATTTCTGAGCCATTACATTGTCTCTTTCTAAAAGAAAACAACAGAACCACAAAACCTCCTTCATTAAATATATATAAATGAAACATGATATATCTTAATTTCTGTACTTTCACTTTATCTCATTGATTCATGTAGCCTCCCTTTTCTGGAATCAGAAGAGAAAAATATATCACTGCTGTGCTCCTGATTTAATGTGTTGACACTGACCTGTATACCTGATTCCACATTCCTTTCCATTCCCTCGGGTCTTCCCTGCATCTACTTTGCCAGGGTGTTGTGTTTATTTTGCAAGAACAGAAAAACAGTGGTTTGAGCTCCTGAGTAAATAGAATTTCCAGCCTTAAATAAAGGTTCTTCTGTGATAGCATGCACTGCCCAAATGAGAGGAGCGCTGTATCCTAGCCTGAGGAAAGAATTTTTCATTTATAATACTGTCTGTATCACTTGGGACGGAATGATGTGAAATCCCATGTTAAACCGTCAGTGCTCTAGATTTGCAAGGTACATTTGGTAATTGGGTTAATACATAAATATGAATTTCCTTATCCCCATCCTCACACTTTCTATACTAACTGTTTTTGCCATCCCTTTCTGTAAAGGTCTTCATGCATACATTGTGTTCAGTTTCAGTCATGAAGTTATTTTCTTGGATCAAAAATTGGCATTATAGATATACATGTGTGACTAATAAACAATCTCTAACAATGCACCTGGGCACACGCCTCAGAATATTTTAGTATTGTTAAAATAACCTCAGAAAGAATTTTTCATGGCACCACAGACTGTGAGGACTAGCGGGAACCTTCAAATTCATCTGGTCCCACATTTCCAAATTATCAGTATGTAAATCCCACGAATAAATGGAGTTTCACTACTAGAAAGACTAATAATGATAATGTATTCTGTGGATGAATTTGGGAAGGTCTCCTTTCCTTTCCCCTGCCGAAAATCTATAATGTGTGGAGTGTGTGCCCTCTGAGTCCTACCTTCCATACACCCTCTGAATGGAGCTGCTTTTCTCCATCCCTTCTGTCACCTCCCCATCTGAACTGCCATCATCTCTAACCTGGACCACACAACAGCCTCCTAACAGGATGCCCCAATCCATTTCTGAATCCTGCAGTCCATTCTCCACATAGTAGGTAGGGCACTGTATGTGTGTGCAAATCTGGTCATATTACTTCCCTTCCCAAACTCCTTCTGAGGGACATTAAGAAAATGGAAAGCCACAGACTGGGGGAAACATTGCAAAATGTATGTTGGAAGCAGATGCTCAGTGCCACAGAGAAAAATTAGCACTGAGACAAAGGATCTTTCAGCAGTGCAATTTTTACTTCCTGGACTGCAGGAGGGGTACCCCCACTAGCCATCTTGCCACAAGAGTACAATGAACAAAGGAAAAAAAAAACATATTTATCCCTTATGCATTTGGGCTGCCCTCACTGCTGTGTCTGGTCTCCATTGGCTGGACCCAGACCTCACGATTTAAACTAAAATCTGATTGGCAAAAAACTTAAAACTTTTCTAAACAGGTAAAAGCAATGGAGAGCTGGGACATGTCTGTGAGCACATCCAGCACAGATATCTTGGTTCAAGTTCAAGGACATAGAATGTACTACATACCTGTAAGCATGCCATGTTTATCAGCTACATAGGATAGGGCTTAACAAAGGGTTATTAGCACACTTATGATTTATTCTTTAACAAGAAAGGAAACTTTAAAGAGGAACTTTTTTACATCCCACAATGTGCATCTAATAAACAATTTAAATTCAGGATATATTAAAGAACTCTAATGACAAAAACAAGAAGACTAACAACCCAATTTAAAAATGGCCAAAAGATTTGACTAGACATGCGCAGGAGAGGGGAGCATAGCAGGCCTGATGTTGCTCTGCAGAAAGGTCTGCCTGTGGAGTTGGCCCTTGCCTGGCATCTGAGAACCTGGCTTTTGGAATGTTACCTATGTTTCTAACTGATAAGGCTGTTTTGTCTTCCCGGTGCACTGAATCCTACCTTACCAGCTTGCCTAAACTGTCTGTACAAACTCTATGATTTATGGTGCACACCTGCTTTTCCTCTAGGAGTTTGGAATTTCAGTAATCACGATTGGTCATATGGCAGAAGAGTCCCTACATCACTAGTCCACAAAAAACTCTGGATGTTGAGTCTCAAGCAAAGCTCCTGGCAGAAACAACATGGACTGGTGCTGCATTTCACTGCTGGAGAAGAAGCATGCTCAGTGAAGACCCCACCCCGGAAGAGAGAACTTTAAAAGCCTACACTTGGATACCTCCATACTCTACCTCAGGCATTCCCCAAACTTTTTACACAGGGGGCCAGTTCACTGTCCCTCAGACCGTTGGA